CGGGAACACACTTTGCACATCTCGTTCATTTGTTACATAGTTTTAAAGTCAATGAAATTCTGCTTATAGTGGTTGAATTACAGGGTAACATTACAGAGGATCCCCTTTTCGAATAATGGCTTTTTCCAATCGATATGTACAATTCTTTCTGGTAAATTCGTTTCCATTAACTTTACAGCCGGGCTTTGGTGTTAAGGGTTTTAGGTATCAGTGTGATGGATAATATATCTTTTTGAATCAATCCAGTGTTTAATCTATATTGAAAGAGGCTATGAAACATGTGCATTTGTGCAAATAAATAGCTATCTACCGTACCCACCTTTCACATTTGCCATTTGCTGAGGAAGATCTGAATCAACGATTGGTAGATCGGACGAGACATACACCTACGCAGTGCAAACTGCATCAGATGTTCCAACGAAAGTGTAATTAACGATTACATGCAAAGGTACACGACGATACGAGATTGCGATGAAAAGGACACAATTCTAGCCAGTGCACGACTCATGTAATTCCAAGCATAAACAGTGAAGCCTGTTGGCCAAAAAAATGTTCGTAGAAACATATTTTTGATAGTAACGATATTAGACTTTGACTTTAGCATCCGCACTTCGACAGTTTACTGAATCAACTAAACGGATCGGAACTCAAGGTCAGTAGAAACATCTTTTCTGGAGAAAATGTTAACGTTCAGATAATTATGTGAGCTGGCACCTCTAAGTTGGAAAGACGAGTCTAGAGAGTGGAAGAGGAGAGAAGACAATACAGTTGTGTCAGTAACGTTATCCTATTCCAAGTTTCGAACCTAGTAAGGGACTTTAAACATCTTAACATTCACGACCAACCTAACACCCTTATAGCATCACGGTATGTAGGTTTGTTATTGATTAGAGTAATTTCATCATACAATATCCGCAAGAGACACGGTTCGCGATCATCATGCATCATTGCAAACCGCCAGGGAAAGAACGACTTATGGCGCGGGCCATCTTACGACGGTGACGCCGTAAAATTTTCAAGCAGAATGTGACAGAACCAAACGCCGACAAGGATCCTAGACAGTCTTTTCCGCAACAAGACAGCAAAAGTTTTTCGGACAAATGGACGATTATTCCAGTTAATGCCCAGTCAGTGTTGCGATCGTACAATGAGCGCACGAGTCTTACCCTTCAGATGCACCTCACAACTCCGATTAACTCCGTTCACTTGACTTCACTCCGCATCACACCGTACATGCCTGCAGGAACATTACTGCATTACTCCCACCCTGCTAGAAGTCTAAATTAACCTTCCACTACAACAGACAGCCCGTTGAATGTTACACGGTAACCTTGCTTGAAGTGAAGAAATCAAACATGTGGAACAAGAAAGGTTTCACTACCACCTCCTTTCCATTAGAGGCTGCGACCACCGATCGAAAAATAAAGAACGAATTTAATTTAAAAACGTTTTGTGCGTTTTCTTATCTTTTGATCTGTACTTTTACATCTTCCATCATATTCCAGTTATGAAATCAACGGTGAAGCAAAAACCAATTCTACGATAGCCGCCTATATATTGTGGAAAGGCAGGGTATGTGTGAGTTCTAGTAAGGTTCAACCAACTAACACCTGACCTAAGGGGAATAAAGTTCAGGAAGGACAAACCATCCGAAACGACCCAGAGCCCTCCACTGGAAGTAGAACTGACTAATGCTGCACAAATCGTTATGTTCCTCCAGCTACCATAGACTGCAGCTGCCACCCTAAGTCTGGAAGTCCGTACAAGATTCCCAGTGGCCCCTCACCTGATGGCCTCTAGGGCCAGTGTAATCAACTCATCGGGGAGCAATTTGACGGGCTGGCAGACAGAGTGTCCTGATAGGAGAACGGCCTGACCCCTGCTATCCTCCCGGGGCAGTTCCAGACAAATCGTGCCATTAACACCAGAACACGTTCTAGACGGACTTTCGGTCATGACAGCTTTACGGCGAGGGCGGAGTATATCTACCCAGGGTCAGACGGGTGTGAGCTGATCCTCATTCGACGGATTTACAGACCTGAAGGCAGCAATCTACCAGCGATATAGGACTGATCTTCTCAGGAGAGGAGGCAGACATAGGAGCTGTCTGGCTCCGACAAAATGGAAGCACATGTATCATCGAACGAGAAACATAGCACTATATTTAACACTTTTATTTTATTTCATTTCCTTCGAGGCTGTATTTAAAGGATTGCTATAAAACTGTTGTGGTGAGGCATTATCAGAGAAGATAAAGTAATGAAATTAAAAGCATTATCAAAATGCTTTGGATGTAATGATACTTTCTGTTCGGTTTAGCATTAACGTCGGTGCATACACCTACGGATATATTTCTATAACCTTTAACAACAGCACGTAACATTTAAGACACAAAGCAACAATGAAGGCTGTTAATGAAGACTGAAACGCACAGAGTAGTTTCCTTCGTCTGCCATACATCAAATTTGACGTTTACAGCATTCTTCATATTATCTCCCTTTTAATCATATTCAACTTAAGTTTCCTTGGTCTGGCATACATCAAATTTGACGTTTACAGCATTCTTAATATCATCTCTCTTTTCATCGTATTCAATTCAATAAAGGTTGTGTATTTCACGCGTGACGTGAACTTGTGTACAATTAACATCTCAAGCAGATCTTTTTACATTTTAATGTTCTCTACACAAAGGCAATCTGAAACTAGTCCAATAAAGTTTTAGAACCATAAAATGTTAGTTGCCATGGTTTGTAACCTGGCTTTCTCCAGACGTTAGTTAATGCCTGCGCCACACGGGCGACTGGTGGACCTAATGGAGCATCACCCCGAATCATCCGTGAACACCGCCTTGTCAAAAATCTGTCAATGGACGCTCACTCAAGTCAGACCGGAAGAGCGGCAAGAATTTCTTTCAGGATGACAGATCTTTCCTTAGCAAAGTCGTAACCAATCAGCGAGACAGTATGCAATGGACAAGACACTAAAAGGCATGGTTTAATTTTCAAGAGAATAACTCAAAATCATATTTCATTGTAGTTTGGTCTGTTTGGTGTTGTTGCAAGAAAAAGGTGTTTGGATTTTAGGAAAGATTCGTATTCTTATGGGTTTTTCTAAGTTCAAGGCTCAGCCATACTACAATGTTTGTTGTCTGTTATAGGCATTGAGTCAAAGTCTTCTCTGTCTACTCACTAACTGTCTATGAAGTGCGAATGTAATAGGTGCAATACAGAAGTCATTATATACATTTATGTAAAATGTTTAACCAAGACAACCTGTTGTGGAAGTGATAGAAGGAGAAGTACATGTCTGAATCCGATGGGTCCGGGGCCTGTTACCAATCCATTTGGCATGAATCATCATTACCTGTCAGACCGTCCATAGATGACAGATTTTATACCAAGGTGCCTCCCCCACCTGGCCGGCTGTTGTGATTAAAGAGTAGGGATGTAACCACACCGATCACTCCCGGCGCGCTACAGCTGGCGCTAGCGGGGCGGACCCATTTGTCACGGCAGGGGAACAAGGACGAGTAAAGGACAAAGACGTCAGGACTAATTTGCTGGTGGGAGGCTTCCCGCGGCCCGGCAGGAGGAGATTGAAGACCTTGTAACAGTCGTTAGTCATCCTGGCTTCGCGCCGCCAACAATCACCCATCTGAACACCTGACTGTGTTTAATGAAGGTGGGAGCAAATATGAGAAGAGAAAATTGAAAATATACCCAATAGAACTGCCTGGAAAGAAATTATTATCACTGTAAAAACTTGATTAAACCAATCCTCTTGACAATAACCTACATGCCTTTGAGAGTTGCCTGAAAAATGAGAACATAGCAAGGTGGGAAACCTAACCTAACCATTAGGCACTACCCAATTACCATAAGTATTCATGGATATGTTTTTGGGTACTTCTGTTTAAAGTAAATAAACTGATAACCAACCAAACAACCAATCAATCGGCTGATTTTTTAACTACTAGTAACTACCTACCTACCTACCTACCTACCTACCTACCTACCTACCTACCTACCTACCTACCTACCTACCTACCTACCTACCTACCTACCTACCTACCTACCTACCTACCTACCTACCTACCTACCTATCTACCTGCCTTAACATCTCTCTAAACAACGCCCGTGAAAGCACAACCTACCAAGTGAAAGACTTAGTATACTAGTAATAATGTATCATTTTCTTTATGCACGTACAAGGTCCTGTAAAAGGGGTGTGAAATGTTTGCTTTTAATTTGGACCTCGTAGTTTTCACAATAAATCGTTTCGCCAGTGACATATGTCAGGACTGGTCACCAAAGTTAACCTTTGTTTCGATAAAGCGATAAATCATACTACAGTGCTGTCTCATTCCTGGGCGATGTAATCTATCATCGAAGGGAGGTCCTCCCGTCATGACCTCAGCTTCTGTTTGGTCCAAGAAGCATGGCACTACGATGCACATTTGAAGGCCATGTTACATTGTCCCTGTTCCTCTGCTTTTGCACATAAGGTCGGCAGCGATGAAGTACGTCATCCCTCAAAGCACGAGGGATGACGTACTTCATTTCTTTCTCCTTCATATTCTCTTCATGTTGCCATGCACCCCAAATGTTCAGTGAGGTGAGGTGCAGTCGAGCAGGAAGACAACAACTTCGAATATTTCTTAAGTCTCCCGGCCAGCAGGGAGACCTTGACTGGAAATTATGAGGTTTTGTATCCCGCAGTATAGATACTATATGTACGACTAGCTTTTGCATCGAGGCAGCAATTTGGACATGCACAATTATGACAGAAGGCCGAAAAACAATTGGTCAATCAGGTCATCAATATACCAATTAGGTGATAATGAACGAATTCAACTCGGTGATCAATGTCCCAATTACGTCATAAAGAAACAGCAAACTCAGAATAGTTCATGGATCCTTTCATATATTCGCATTTCACTAGATTGCTGTTTCTACAGAAATTTAACAACAACAAAAAGATAGTAACCAAAGGTGTCTTACCCACGTCTTCAGTGAAGGAAGAACATGTCGTCAAAAGGACTCTGTTTGCCAAAGCGCACCGGTACCAAAACTTGTGGTCACCAACTCAGACCGTACATCTGTATACTGAGCAGCCTGTCAGGGGAATACATCATACATGTATCAACATCGTTGTCGATATGTAAGGCAAGCTACAAAAAAGCAATGTCATGCAAATCTAATTCAGCATAGCTGTTGAAAGTATGCGGCATTCGTTTGGTACGTAGCCTGGATGCCAGCCTTTTAGCTTCAGAACGTTCTCTTGATCGTTTCCTTGCCACGTAGGATAAGACCGAGAGAGCGTACCTTTTAGCTAAATAGACAGGCACCGGATTATTCGGAATGCTCTCCATCTATACATGAACATGAAATCTATACATATGCCTCTTGTTGAATCGTCTTACTAGTATTTGAACAGCTTTATTGTACATGTAAGCAGCTACCATCTTTCATGATCACGTATTAGGTTACGTTTCACAAGAAGGCCATTCCCAGGAGGTATTCTCAAGGTACTTTGATTCCGTGGCAAGATTTTATGTCGCAGCAATTACAGCATTTCCTTCATGTCCTCTGATCCGTCCTTATGTAGACGTCCTCCGAGGAGTATGTCTATTCAAAACCCCTTCTATCAGAGGTGCAATATTTTCACATGTCTTCTCCCTTCTCTAATCTGAAATAGACAGCTTTGTGTTGTTTAATTCAAAGGTACACAGAAACCGGTAAAAAAATCCCCTCAGGACTGATGGGAAGAAAGAGAGTGTGTAATTCGGAACGTCTATTGAAGATTTGCCGTGGGGAAATCCATTATGTCTTTTCGACAAGTACAAGAAACATTAGCCTGTGTTGCACAATATCTCGCTCCAGGGACTAGACGGGTCGCCTCCCGGAGAGCTTGTGGCTATTCACGTCGTTTGCTGCAGCTGCTGCAGGTCAATTCATCTTCAATTGCCGGACTACATCTTCTCACCCCCTTAACATACATATGGATACGTTTCTAGAAACCAATCAATCACACTAATAGAATGTTGGGAGACTGTTGGGTGTTCTTGTCTGTACGTTAAGTATTCTGCATCAACAGACAACATCTCTAGAATATGCTTTTGAGCTGTCCATTAGCGCTTGGTAATATCACCAGATTCATATGTATTCATATGTAGCTACATGTAAATGACATTAGTTCTTTCACAGCCTACTGGAAATATTACGTTTAACGCCCGCGTACTCAACAAATACGAGTAATCAACATAACAAAGACTCAACTTTACAAGTAGATAATATGTTTGTGAATATTTCCATGCCCATTGATTGCATCCAGGCCAACAGGTATCCTTTTTTTCGGAATCAGGCTCAAATGTAAAGGTCATAAACATACGCCGAGCAGAGAAGTTACCCCGCTAGAATGAAGCAGTGCTCTATTGTCACTTCCAAATCACCGACTATCTTTCTTAGAGAAAAAAAACAAAGTAGAGCATATGTAACCTTGAGCATAATTCACGTTGAGAATATGTAACCTTGAGCATATATCACCTTGAGCCTACATCACCATGAGCATATATATTAGCTTGAGCATATATTACCTTAGGGACATATTCCATTGACAGAAAAGAGCATCAACCAGCTACAAGAGAAGATGACAGACAGTAGAGGAGCGGAGAAACACAGCCATCCAGGCGTCCGAGTGTTCCCGACTGAGTGAGTGATTTCTAAGCCTGGTTATATAGGCCTGCATGTGATAAACGTGGTAGATATCCCTCCTGGTGGGACACAATTCGGTTGTTCTTTGCCAGGGACGCCGAGAGAGCAGTAAAGAGGATTAAGATCTACTCGTGCATCAGTAATCATTCCTTAATTGGTAGTCATTAGTTATGTTATCATCCCGAGGCATTGTCATGTAATTATCCCCATACAGTACAGCGTATTGCGAATTTAAGTTGGCATGATTACAGTGAGCCAGCTTAATGATGTATCAAAGTATCTTAATGATGTATCAAATTAGCTCAACCTAGGTCAAAATTAATAAAGTGTCTATAATGGATTTTTCTATAGTCTAATTAGAACGGGATAATAGCTGCAGACAGAGAAACACTCTTAGAAGGCCAAAAAGATCTTACAGATATCAGACACCACATGTACTTGATGCTACAAAATATCTTGGGTTGTTATATGTCTGAAAACCACAGGTTTTCCTGACGACATACCTGTCCTCGCTTTATACAATTGTTGGCGAACAATAGGTAAGGACATATTGTCTATTACTATTATCTATGTAGACAACCAAGGAGTCAAATGCCCGGCCAAATTCATCGTACGATCGTCGTAAGATCGCAAACTGAAGACACTCATGAGACAGTTGTGGATGGTTACGTACGGGCCGTCTTAGACGGCGCGGGTTGGTTCTTTCACAGCCTACTGGAAATGTCTACGGTATGAAAATCTTACGACAGTCTACGTCGAATGACGCGCTGTAACGCATAAGACTGGTTCCAATGTCACCCACGACCATTGACTCATGTGGCCTGAAACGTCATGCCCTGGTCGGTACCAGGGGCAGATTATCACAGAACACCGGTGGGGCTGGCTTTCTGGTCGTCAATTTCACGGAACAGGCACCAAGCGGGGGTTATTCATTAACACCAAGAGGACGAGTCGGATTAGGGATTAGTTAGATTGATGACTGTGAGAAGTAGGCCACGCAATGAACGTCATTTTGCTGCACAGCAACAAGTGGCTGTATGTGTACGTGAGAACGACCTCCAGAGAAAATATATTTGCTGTTATTAAGTTTGCTTTAAATTTGGAGATAAAAGATGTCCCGCCTTACTCCGTGTATTCGATTCTTGTAACACCATTTGTCGACGTCAGTCTTCTTTATTTAATTCAGGCCAATGCATATGTAGTTAGATTTCCCCAGCAACAGCAACCTTTGGAAACACCACAACCTGGAACGGAATGTTCGGTGATATGGCTATAGCCCAGCAGCCTCTTGCCATGGGTTATACCACAAAGCAGCATATTATCGTACATGATAAGGCATGATAAGGCTTTTCATAATATCAATCATAAGCCATGTGTGATTTCTTTCAAAGATTTTAGAATAGGCTGATAATAATCTATATTACCATGAATTGCAGCGTATTTCGCCTCAGACGGTTCTATTTTATCTGCGTCGTTTCAGGCAGGATGTCGTAATGAAGCTATTCACCTGGCGAGTTATGATTGTCCAATGATAGTTGATACTACAATTATATACTATAAATTAAGCTATCTCACAGGCCCAGGGAAAAAGCAGTAATTTGATGCAATAAAACTTAAAGGCATTGAATCGTAAATTACAAATTCTGGGGGATCAAACAAAATGCATGGATTCTGAGGCTCCTTGCAGCAAACCCAAACATAACGTTTGCCACTAAATGCCTTCAAGGGCAAACGATCAAGGGATTTTTTGCGAAGAAGAAATTGTAACAATCGACCGCTTGGACAAACGATTGTGTGCCTATCTGGCACGAAGCTATGGTTACCGAAGACAAACCCGCTGTGTTCCTGGGGTGCGTGAGAGCACAGCTAACACTGTTCGTCACTGGTTCAAACCGGTCCACATTACCGATACCTGGCACATGGCCCGGTACGGAAAAGTTAAGTTCTTCTAGCCTGGAGACGGAATTGATACGTGATACTCCCGTAATGAGCTCTTTATACAGACAAATCGCAGCTTCTGTCAGTAACCGATGTCTACCGACCTGCTCGATAAGCTAAAGACCCGGCCGGCTGACAGAACCAGACACAGATCAAGTTGGCTTACTCTACGCGGTAACGTGTTGAGGACCGGCTGTCAGCTTGGAAACTTATGTTGTTATTTTCTCAGATAAACTACAGGTTATTTTACAGAACCCGTTAACTGCCCTCACGCGGTACGGGCCGGTCGCTGACGGGCTGGGAACATACCAGGCTGCCTGCTGTCACTAACCGGCTGATCTCATTTCACAGACAAACTACAGTCAACATTGCAGATCCTTGAGAACGAGCCAACTGTCTCAAGGTGCAAGACTGACAAGTGTCATTGGTGTGATGTTTAACAGACAAACTACAGACCGAATCATATGTTTGATAACCTTGAAGTGGTGTAACAACGACGAGAAACAAAGACGTGCACATGTAGTCTCATAACTCCTGCGCTAACAGCAGGTGGCTCCTCTCCTTTATCTAGATGCGGTGGTTTATTGTTGGTCTGTAATTGTGGCTGATAGTTCAATCATCGCAACTTCAACTAATTTCTAAACAATCCGACACCCATTACCGAGGCCTGGGCGCGATAATTACCTCCGCGGCTACATCAGGAGTAGCGGCTGTGTAGCTACGTAGTCGATGCCGGTGCGGTTCCCTTCCACTCGGGCGGCGATGGCGCTGCGACCGTACGGCGACCAAAGATGTGACGAGAACGATTTTTTTTACGTTTTGCGTTTCCGTGTCTTTTATTTAAATCAAAAGTCTGCATTTTGCACCATGTACCAATTATGAAATGACCCTTCATTTCATAATTTAAATCCAACACACACTTAAATCCAATTCGGTCGCCGTGAGGTCGTCGCGCGATCGCCGCCATAGCGGAAAGGTGTTGTGCGGGATTAGCCGGTGATGATTCACCCAGGCGTGACGAGGAGCAGGCGGCAGCTGCTGCAGTACCCGGGCTGCTGCAGCCGCGGATAGAGGAGACGGTAGGGCCGTGGGACTACGCGGCGCCAGAATCCCTTATGCATAGCTTTTTGTGCAAACGAGAAGGAATAGAAAGTATCCCTTTAAAAGGTTGCAATCTTGGAGTAGGTCGAGGACACGATTCTACTTCGAATTCCGTCGTTTGGGTCCTTGGCATATTCTTATTCATATCACAGCTATCGAAGAAGATGGATGTATTGGTGCGACCAACAGTCGGAAGGAATGTTTTCATCACCGTGAGACAGGTGTTGACAGCCGACCTTGGCTTGAGGAACAAGTAATTGGATACCGCAGGGGATTGCGATCTTTATTTGGAACCAGAAGTCACGTCAGTTTGATCCTTGACCTTCCCAAGCTGGAGGAACAGGAGCACAGATAACCACGTT